CACCAATGGGGAGTATCTCTGACCTCGGTGCCTCTTCAAGGGTTTTTTACGTAAGTCAGGCCCACCCAAAATGATCTCTCTTCTGATTATCTTAAAATCAACTGAATTGGGACCTTAATTATATCTGCAAGATCTCTTTACTTTGTCACGTAATGTAGCCTAATCGAGGAGGTGACATCCCATCATCTTTTTAATCTTCTGTTGGTGAGAAGCAAGTCACAGGTTCTGCCCACATTTAATGGGAGGAGGGATCATACTAGGGTGTGGATGCAAGAAGGTGGGAGTCATTGGGCCCACCTTAGGATCCATCTGCCAATCAGCAGAAGAAAATACAGGGGTTCACTTCTCAAGAAAATGTCATCACAGTATGGACAGAATTACTTCATTTATGAGTGTGAGCTTAGAATCTAGGTGCAGGTGCAAAGGAGGGTGGAGAGAAAAAAAAGAAAGAGCCCCATAGTTTTTCCAAATAATCAGAGTTTTTCAAGGTTTTCCTAGAAGCACCTGTTGCCAGATATTATGTAATAAAATGCAGGTACGCCTAAAATGTACAGTTACACTTTAGCAGCTGACAACTGGGCAACCCAATACCTCCTTCAACTGGTGCAACAATGAACATGGACATGGGGAGCATGGAAGTATCAAGAAAAGGCAAGGCAGGTTCAAAGGCTTGGGTTCTCAGCCCAGAACAAAAAAAGTTCAAGGTGGACAGTGAATAATCGAATGCTATATGCCGGCCAATAAAGGCTAAGTTCAGAGGCCTCCCAATATGAGAAAAACAGGAACGTGTCTGGGGTAGAAGAAATGGAAGCTGAAGGAGGAAAAGAATAAGCAACACCAGGAAGGAAAGAGGCATTCGTCTACAGGACAGATGAAGGAGAGAAAGGGGAGAAGTTGAGAAAAGGAGAGAAAGGAGATGAGGGAGAAAGTGAAGCAAATTCCATACAAGAAGGACTTGAGTGGTGGTGAGGAGGGGCAGGAGGGGGCATGAACAAATGTAGCCATCAGTTAACTGGAAAGTTCAGTTAACCAGAATGAGATGCCAGGTAAGTAAAATCCCACTGAGCTTGGCAGGCCTACTCTGGCCATTAACTTTAATGTTTTTCCGAACCCCAGCACTTTCACAGGTGTGAGTTAAAACCATCTGGTTTCTGTACTCCGCCCTGACTATTAAAACCTAGCATCTTCAAAGATACATTGTGGAGCGAGAGGGGAGTGGGGGAAGAGATAGGAGGTAAAAGCCTTTACCGCATGCTTAACCTTCACAAGAAGGAGCTTTTAAGTAACTTTTGAGTGGAATTACTTTATTTTGAAATTGCAATGTAATAAAATAAAATATGGTGAGACGTTTTAATATACAGAAACAGAGCCTGGACAAATAAATGCTCAAAACAAAATCCCAATGAAATAAATGCAGTGTGCAGTGACCCCGACATGACAAATGAAAAAAGAAATAAACTTAGGGGAAAATCCATACACAAAAGCATGTCTCTACAGTAGTGATGTTTCTAAATTTCACACAGTTGCAAGTAGAGCTCACTACAGATTATTTCTATGCAAATATGCATTTAGCCAATGTAAGAGTGTGCAAAAAATTCTAAATATATTTCTTAAAAATCAATTCTTGTGCAGTACAAGTGAATCAAGAAGCAAGAAAAAACCACTACATATTAAAATGTGACCAATGTGAACTTGTCAGAAGACAAGCTTCCGAGACATGGGTGGCAGGAAACAGGAAACTGCCCCACACTGCCCGATGTCTATGTCTAGTCTAGAGAAGATGGTAAAAGCACCTCTGCTGTGGATGCAGCTACTCTCTCCCTTCCAGGGACAAAGCTTGAGCCTTGAGAGTGCCAAGTTCCCATTGATATGGCTCCTTCCCATTGATATAGAAAGTTCTACACAAGGCTGCACGCAGCCAACTTGTAAAACACAGAGCACCCAGATTGATTGGAGGTGCTCCCCAGAGATTCCAAATCCAGGCAATAAACAGGTTCTTAGCAGAAAGCTCTCTGCCTGTCTCCTTCAGCACCTTAGCAACCATCCCTCCAAAGTCCCCTATTTAAACAGCCCGATGTTTCCTGGTTAGGCCAGTTCCTTCTATTTCACACCAGAGTGAAAGGTATACATAATGGTCTTTATTTGTCCTTTTTACCATTAGCCAATACGTATACCCTCTTGATCAGCTGTGTGTCTAACACTTTCCTAGGTTTTCTAAATTCATTATTAACTAGAAAGTGTCTCCCTACCATTTGACAAAAGAGGAAGCTGAGGGGAGAGATCCATCTGCCTTTCCAGTGTGCTAGGGTTAATTAGGAGCAGAGCGGGGTCTAATGGAATCCAGATAAAGGTGAGGCATACGATTTTTCTACTGTAACCATGGTCTCTCTTTGCTTTTATATTTACACATTGAACCACACAACTGAGGTTAGAAATTATACAGCAGCAGTGGCTGGAAGGGGACACAGGAGGGTTGCTGGAGTACTAGAAGGATCCTGTGTATTAATGAGGGTTACTCATGCGTGTGGGCGTGTGCAAATTTATTGAGATAGACATGTGAAGTGTGTGCCCTGTTCTGCTTATATTTACCTAAACAAAGAGGGACAGTAGCCTGAATGAGGCCCTTGCACCTGCAGTAACCCTGAGGGTGTGTGCTTCTCCAACTCCAGGCCTCTCACTTGGGAAAGATCCACATGGGGCACATCTCAGACACCAGTGATAAAGCTTATCATGTGAGTGTTGGATCATGAACCAATGCAGGTCACTGGGAAGGGACTCCAGACTTTCTCCTCTCCCTCTCAGTTCTATCTTGGGGGGGGGGGGGGCGGCAAGGGGCTCTCACGAGTCTTATACACAAGTAAGGATTAAAGAAATTCTATGTTTCCTGCACTAAACACTGACTCTGTCCAAGAAGAGGTCTGTAGTGGGCTGAACTCTGTCCCTCCAAAACTCTTATGTTGAAGTCCTAACCTCTAGTTCCTCAGAATAGGACTGCATTTGGAGACAGGGCTTTGAAAGAGGTAAATAAGGTAAAATGAGGTCATCAGGTGGGCCCTAATCCAGCTGGTGTCCTTACAGGAAAGGAGATAGAACACAGACACAGCGACAAGAGCATATGAGGACACAGGAAGAAGGTGGCCATCTGCAGGCGAGGAGAGGCCTCAAAGGAACCCCGCCCTCTGACGCTGTGATCTCAGACTTCCAGCCTCCAGAGCTGAGAGAATATTTTTTGTTATTTAAGCCACCCACTCTGTGGTACTTTGTTGGGCTGCTCTGGGAAACTAATACAAGGTCCAACATGAGAACTGATTCAGTGTTTTCCCAGTGGGGATGCAAAGTGTCTAAGTGCAAGGTGTGTGAAGTCAGGGACACTGGAACACATCTTAAGGATTCTCTCCTGCCCACCTCAGAAGAGACAGGACACAACCCCAAGAAATCCATGGGGCTTCTTCTTGTAGCTGCTCACATGCGCCACCTGTGTTCACACCAAGTTCCTGCACTGAGCTTCCTCAATACTGTAACCAGATCAATTCCATGCAGTAATTGGGCCAATAGGCAAAGCCACAAGTCTGAAAACGTTTTAAACGAAACTGACCAGTCAGCTGGGAGAACTGAACAAAGTGGCCAGACTGTTTATCTGGCAGAGGACATGTTAAAAAGTCTGGCAAGGGTGCCTAGATCATCAAGCCGGATTCTGTCTCTTCTCAGATGGTGTTCACTATCTTAAATGTGTCCCTTGTTTAAACAAAACAAACATCAGATAAATTCTACTTGCTCCCATACTTTTTTAAAAAAGCTATGTGCATGTGAGTACATATGCATAAGCATGTGTGCACACACCTGGATAAAGCAGAGAACAACTCTCATACCAGCTCTGGGAGGCCACGGAGGCCATGAGACAGAGGGTAGAAGAATCTAGATGGGGCTGAGGAAGCTCACTAATGTCATTTTCTTGAAGAAGATTTAACCTACTGCTTTCCTAATACAGCATTTACTCCTTCCCTTCCTTGTTTCCTTTCACACACATATATATCTTCAGCCAAGGACATGCTTTCATTGCTTTTAAAGAGAGAGAAAGGGGGAAAGAGAAACATCAATGTGAGAAATGTTGATCAGTTGCCTCCTGTACACACCCAACTGGGGATCACACCCGCAACCCAGGTATGTTCCCTGATCAGGAATTGAACCGGCAACCTTTTGGTGTACTGGATGATGCTCCAACTGGCTGAGCCACCTGGCCAGGGCTCACACATATTTTTGAAACTACTATGTGTCAAGTCCTGGAATAGGTGGAAAAGAGAAGATGTGGCCCAGGACTCAGAGGACTGGGGTCTGAGCCAGGAGCTTGGGATCTCCCATGAGCCCATTCTAGAGTGGCTATGCCCTATCTGACAAGAGGCAGGGTACACAAGAAGTGTGAAGTCCCTGCCATGTTTATGTAATATTATACTTTAGCCTAAATGGTTGCCATCCCAATACTTAAATTTAACTACAAGTCTAAAACATGTAAAAATGACTTTACAACTAGAATCACACACGAGAATACCCGAATTCAGCACACACTCCCTATTGCTGAACTGCCAATGCATTAGCCTCACCTTCCAGCAAGATTAGGGCAGAACTATGTACAACACCCAGCCCAGAGCAAGGGATTAGTAAATGTGCTGACTGATTAAATTGAACATCACAAAGAGCTATGAAAAAGAAAAATATAAGAATGCAATTAAAAGACATCTATGCCAATATTTCTGGGGAGTACATGAAATACTTCACAATGGAGTCTGCTGTGGATACCCCAAACCTGCCTCATCCAGTCTTAGCATCAAGGTGTCCCTGGAATTGCACTAGGGGAGGGGACTTCATCTGCCATGCACCTCTGTTCCATCTGGCACAAAGCCTCACATGCTTCCCTGAATTCAAGAGATTGACACTGACAGGTCAGCTTCAGGAACGATGTGGAAGCCAGCCCCGCAGGACACACAACATGCATAGGGTGGTTACCACATCCACTGACAGGCCTTGAACTATCTGATGTTGTTCTTTTGGTTTGCACTAGGATGTGGGGGGGGGGGGGAATCCCTGTACTTTCTATCTATCTGTGTAGTAGCCCAATTGAATAAGGGATTATATCTACAAAAATAAAATAATATAAAAACAAATAAACAGGGAGGTCATATGCTGCCGGCTCCACCCCAGCCAGGGTACAAGGGAAGCCCCAGGGCCCCAGCCTGAAGGCAGCAATCTGGACTCAAAGCAAAAGGCTGAAGACATGACAAGTGTGATTTTACCAATAACAAAAGGAGACACACATAAGCAACCCATCCTGCTGCCTTGTGCATCCACTCACAGTGTCAGAGCAGAAAAGGACCTTATGAAGCCGCCAAAGCTCTGAACATGGACAGTTCTTTCAAAACCATTTGGTAGTCAAAGCTACATAGAGCTGACGGAGTTACTTATCTCACTGAGTGCGAGGATCCATTCATTCTGACACAGAGATATTCATGTGTTTAATCACAAGGTGCTGCCCCTAGGGTGTTACATCACACAAGGTTTAGCAAACTTGCTATAGAGAGCCAGGTAGTAAATATTTCAGGATTTGTGGGCATTCGGCAGTGTCTTGCATACTCAGCTCTGCCACTGTAGCTGAAAGTAACCATAGATAACATGTGAGCAAAAGGGGGTAGCTGTGTACCAATAAAACTGTAATTACCAAAAGAACCCTCAGGCCATGCCCTAGGCTATATGTTTGCCCAACTGTGTAATGCACAGAATATGCAGCATATCGCCTTCCAAAAATCTGAAAACCTCTGAAACACATCTGGCCCTAAGGGTGTCAGAACAGGGGTTGGGCTCCTGTAGTTCCAATTTTGCAGAGTTCTCTGCAGGAAAGTTCTTTACAAGGGGCTGGGACTTTCCTCCAACCACAGCTTGGCTGGTCTTCCTGAGGAGTTTTAGTCACTTGCTGTAATGGATGCAACTGCAGCTGAAATCTGGAATTCAGGTTGTCGAACTGAGAGCACCTGCTCTGGGTCACATTCCATAGGATGCCGTGCTTGCTGGTTTTGCAGGGAGGTAAACCCCTTTTGAAAGGGCAGGAAATTGGGAGGACAGCAACTTTCTGAAAGACAGATTTTCCAGATGACTCCCATAGACAGCTATCTGTGTACCTGAGGGGCCTCAGAACAGGGAGACACGCGAGCAGCTCTAGGGCCCACATGGCCAAGTGCGATACAACCTGGGGGCAGGGTGCACGCTCTCCAAGATTGCAGGGAAACACTGGGGCTCTCATGGACTAAGGCTTCCAGAAAAGTTATCCCTGCTCTCTAGCTCCTGAGGGTGTGGCACTATTGGGAGCCCCAGAAGGTGGGCACAGACATCGGTGTGGTCAGGGGTGATGGACTCCAGTATCAGTGGTACTGATGAGGGGCCCTCACATATCTTATGGGCCACGGAGAAATGGAAGCCCTCACATGACGTTAGAAACCACGAGTTAGTAAAGCCAACACTCCAAGAATGCACAAGAGAGGCCTCTTGGGGAACCAGGAAATACTCGATGGGACTGAGGACTGAAATCAGATTCACAAGTCAGGGAGGGGGCATAAGGCATTGAAAGGCAGGCTCGATGAACACATGGCTTCTGGGGGAAATGAAACATGACCTAGTATCTGCTAACTTTAAAAAATCATTTTATTAATTTATTGGGATGACACTAATTAATAAAATTGTATAGGTTTCAGGTATACAATTCTATCATACATCATCTCTATATTGTGTTATGTGTTTACCACTCCAAGTCAAGTCTCCTTCCATCTCCATTTATCCCCCCTTTACCTTCTTCTACCACCCATCAACCCCCTTTCCCTCTGATAATCACTATACTGTTGTCTGTATCTATGAGGTTTTTTTCCTTTGCTTCATTCCTTCACCTTTTTCACCCAATCCTCTGTCCCACTCCCCTTTTGAGCACTTATGCCAGTGATGGCGAACCTTTTGAGCTCGGCGTGTCAGCATTTTGAAAAACCTTAACTTAACTCTGGTGCCGTGTCACATATAGAAATTTTTTGATATTTGCAATCATAGTAAAACAAAGATTTATATTTTTGATATTTATTTTATATATTTAAATGCCATTTAATAAAGAAAAATCAACCCAAAAAATGAGTTCGCGTGTCACCTCTGGCACGTGTGTCATAGGTTCGCCATCACTGACTTATGCTATCCCAGGGACTGTGCTGAGTGCCTTACAGATGGTGGTTTCAATCCTTGCAACAACCTTTCAGGGTAAATAGCAGTGAGAAAGCTAACATCAAGTCATGTGCTCAGGGCTGGCTGTTCTGCAAATGCAGAATGAAGGCTGGATGCAGGTGCCTCTGATGTCTACACCATGCTGCCCACTGTAACAGAGAGGTAGACCCTCCATCATGTGACAACTCACCAAATGACTGGCACAAAGACCTCATCTAACCTCAATACCATCTTATACAGATCTTCAAGGGTCCT